ATTTTCTTCAAAACACCAAACTAAATATCACATCAATCCAGTGAGACTTTAATAGAGTGAATCAAACCAAATTAGGCATACCCTGAGATTCTTCTTGTGACCCATTACTACAATTCCACTTAAAACTTTAATCTCTCTTTAAGATAATTCATATTGCATGAAGTTATGTCTTCTTCCTAAAGTTCTAAATGATCTCCAGATATGTCATTGTAATGAAGAAATCAGCTAACATTTCTTTAAGTCTATTATTAAGGAAACAAAGCGCTTCTCAATACTTAACATGACAGTTGTGTATCATGTACATGCATGTATGTAGGAGTGAGGCGATAAAAGTCAAGTGCTGTCAAAAGTCACCTTGTTTTGTTTCTTTCTAGTCCTGTTAACATCATGTTTTTAGACATAATGATATATTTGACGTTGTACAAGTAAACAAATATGTTAAATCTTTACAAGAATACATGAGTTTTACACAGATCATTACATTTGGTAATGGAGTTTTGTCGATATCAAGGAGTTTATGTGCAAATGTTTTGTGAAACAATGCAAAAACTAACGGAAGAAAACATGAGAATTTTTTTATTGGTACAACAAATAAAACTGATTAAAATAATAAAACAGAATAAGATTTGCGCAGTGACATTCTTCATCAGAAAAATAATTATCGGTATCTTTTAAAAACACAGGCAATCTTGTAATCTCTGTGACCAGGCAAAGCATTAACAGTGTAAGAAACTTTTAATACAAGCATATCAAAAGGTCAAATAATCAGAGAGACGACAAAACAACATTAAAGTCTATTACTAGGATGTGTGTGTAACATAAGTAGTTCAAAATAGTTTTATACGTCCAATTAGTCATCTTCATTTATCTGATGGAGGCTATACTGGTTGAATATACTATAAAGGTTACTGGTTCATTTTACTTGTTTCACCTTTCAACCTTCAAGATAGTTAATAGTTGTTCCGTGTGTAATAAATTATATTGATACCTAATGATCGTTTATAGCGATCGTCACGTTTACGGATAAGGACCCAATCTCAGAGGAGAGGTCTTAAAATGACGTATGAGCTTACTCCCAATCATAAACGAATGAAATATCGCTTACGCACATCTCATAAAAATATATGTGATACATATTAAAACGTCCTCAAAAATATCAAACACATTTAAAAGAAAAAAACGAAACTTTGTATGATGTTCCTATAACAATATTAATCACATTAAACAATGTCAAACCATTGTTTGGTGATACTATGAAAATATCAATTATTTTAGGCTGAAAAAATATTTGCGAAAGCTGAAATGTTGCAATGATTTGAGCAGAAACTGTTTGTAAACTAATCTTGCACCATCAATATGACTAGATATATTGTCATAAAACGAACTTCAAAATCAGTGATTTCATTTCCTTCAGATCCTTGATTCTACTTTCAAAAATACTATGCTGTTCGTGTTAGTCTTACATAAGTAAATGTGTTTATTTAATATATCAATCAAATCACCCAAACGGAAATCATTGACATGACATACTTGTCTATATCAGCCGCTTGTTCAATCTTCCAAACTCATCATCTTAGTTCGGAATGATATCAACTTCAGCTTAAGTTCAAATCAACAGGAATCCCATAGCATAGATGGTTTTACTGTTGATAGCATAGTCACTGTAAGTCTCTAAAGAGAACGGTTATGTACAGCGCCCGATGTTTAATTGTGAAGACCAGTAATTATACTACTCTGTTAGCGCCATGCTGTTTACGAAAGAAAAAATCCAATCAACTTTTTCGAGGCTACTTCTTTTATGACTCCTATATCATTATTTTTCTAGTTCCGTTCGAATTCCGTCTGTGATTAATGTTCTAGCCCAGACACATGGCATTATTCTCATCATATAGGTTAATGGTACATAGTTATGTACATTGTATGTGTACTGATGTACGTGTTGAATAGTTTCGTCGTGTCGTCCCTGTTCTTTTTTATCATAACATTACAAACAAGCGCTCTCTTCTACTTCCCACCACTTAAAGTGAGATAATTGTGACCGTTAAGTCGACTTATCTATAAATATTTATTATTTTCTCTCTAATGATTTTCTTGTCGCAACCTCACTTTTGACTTTGAGTTGACTCAAGAAAAGCTATTGGTTCTATCATTGTGACTTACCATTAAAATGGCGCTATGTGTTGTGTTACCGTCGCTTAGAATACTTGATAGCGTGCGTGTGATTGTACTTTAACATCGACGGTCAGTAGCCAGGTTATCAATCACAGTGAAATAGAATAGGTTTCTTTATTCACTTGGAAATGTCGGTTCCTTAATTGCTGTTGCTTCTGGAAACTTTGTTCTATCCAATAAAGTTGGTTTTATTATCGCACTGTAGTATTCCTAATATCAGTTCCATATTCCACTAAAAATAAAACCAGGATAAAAAATCTACTAGAAGGTACTGATTTCCTTAAATGTCGTAACTACACTTCCTAATGGTTTTGTTATGTCGATAACACGTTATTTACCTTGGTTCTGTTGTTTAGAAACAGAGACAATGGCACATCCTTTTACTGCAGATTTTTTCTTTTAAAAACAAAAGCTTAGACTATAGCAAGTCATAATGTATTTTGCTGTTGATTGAACATGACTTAGGTATAGACATCCGTCATATTATAACGGTATCTCACACATCGCTAGGATGATACTGTGTACATTGCGAACTAGTCGAGGTTTCAATAACATTCAATCAACATATTACTTGTCTTAAATACATAATATTTTATGTGGGTTTCTGTGGGTGATATCAGTATTTTAAATCGCTTACGGAACATAAAATATCCATTCTCGGTCCTAGCTTTTGTAGTGGACTTTGGATAAGCTGGCTCTTTCGGTTATATTTTAACGCCTTCTAATGTATGTAGGTTTACTATGATTAATAATCATAGATCACAATCCCTGCAAGTGAGTGAGTAATTGATAGTTCCCAAATATTTGACATGCTTCATTTGAGAAACTTAAATGTAACCTTTTTCTCTACTACATGAATAGTTTCACTTGCTCGTGTTTAACGACCACGGATAATGTCTTGTGTTCTACATCCAAACATTGATTATATCCTGTACTCACATATACTTATGTATTAAAAAATCGATTTGCAGTAATCAATACCTAATCTTTTAACTTCTTATTGCTTCGAGTTATAATCATCGTCGCATTTTTTCTACATCTAGCTCTGTCAAGGTTTACAACTTGAACATGACGCATGTCCTTCATGTATCATATACATACTACACACCAAAAGGACACAGGGCATCATTTGTAATCGCCCTTGCGTTTTGACCTAATTGCCCTGAACAGAATGCCAACGATAGCCCAACGGGTTTGATTGTCAATACAGAGCATATTGTACCACAGCTTGTCAATGTCTGATGTTTCGGTGGCTGAAGTGTATGGACATGATTGACGAGATATAAATACTTCGGAGTCTTGAATGATCAGCTAATTCCATTCGACAATTCGAAATCATCTGGTTTGACATGGCCTTTCAGATATAATCCAGATTGATGAGATATTGTATACCCATGCAGATTGACAATGCAACACCGAATGGTAGATCTACGCTGTTTTTCTCATACCATATCAAGCGATAGATAACTAAAAACAATGTTTGTGACGTGGAATTTTAACATCTAATTTGCATTAAAAACGAAAAAAAAACTAACACATTGCGTCACCATCAGAATTTCATTTCATCTCAAATTTATAGAACCACCTAATTCTGGAAGAACGTTAATCCTGCGGATTATCATTCATATTCTTCGCTTCGTTATCTATCATGAATGTTATTGATGATATCAAAATACGATCAAGTGACAGTCAATTGTTACGATCGTCTTAGAAAAATCACACAAAACACACATAAAAATGATTCCTATTTCTTTTAACTTTTTATTCCATCTTTTCAAATTTGAAATTGTCTGTTACAAAGCATTAGGCCGCAAGCATTACAGATGAGTAAAAGAAGGACGAACAGCTATATGATATAAGGTTAATTCACTATCTGGCATATATTGTACTCATTCTGAGCATATACTTTATATGTAGAGAATATAATAAATGAAAATACATATACATGTATATATCTACATGTAGTCAGTCATGGATACTTGTGACTGGGTCACTTCACATGTTGATCCTGTCAACTTAATGTCTCTGGTGGTTTCTATGTGGCGAGGAAGGAACAATATCGACTAGTATGTATATAGTGGTGAACCCTCAGCCTAAATGTTGTTATCAGTGTTGGAGTTAAGGCAAATTCAATCATTTTACCTTCCGATTTAACTTAATTCAACGTAATGATTTCTAAGCATTGAACTGCTATCAATTTGCATCTATTGACATAAGAATGCTAATAGCATAAGAACAAATTTGCATATCATCTCTAGCCATGTCATGCAATGGTAAGTGTAAAAGTATATTCTCCATCATGACTTTAAAGCATAACAAATGATTTGCACAATGCAATATCGCGAAATTAAAAAGAAGATGTTAACATATTATATATATATATATATATATCTCGTTTCATATATAGCTTCAAGTGATGGTACGATCGGATCTTAGCATGCAATGAAAACTATTTTCTTGGAAATGATAGATCAAGACGTATGCGTTCTAATGTAAAGGCTAATTGATTTAATGTACGTTTTCACAAACGTTGATCAGTATTGTGTCCAGCAGACGCAATGGGAAAGGGTGGACAGTGCTCGCGCCTCTGGTGATTGGGTACTGTCCTTTTAGTGTCGAGGCGTTATCTGCGTCAGGTCGGGTCTCTGAAATGGAATGGTCTGTCAGTTTAGTTGTTCTCAGACACATGTTGTCGCTTCAACGTAAGGAATGAAATACGTTAGCACGACTGTATCATCATTTCATCGAGAGACAAGTATTGAGCGTAATTTTTAAAAATTGCTAGTTCTAAGACATTAACCTTATAACTTTAATGTCCTCTGTTTCAGGTTTATTGTTATAGTCCTGCCGATCAAATCACGTACATGGTGCACTGCGGGAAATACAAAGAAAATCCTCCTCCTTGTTTGGTCTGTCGCCATTTGTCTTGCGTCGCCACCTCTCTACGTCATGGTGAGTATAACACGTCATCATAAACAGCAATGAAAATGCTGACGTAAAAACCGTGATTCTAAATCAAATCGATACAAGTTAGGCAAATGTGAAGAAAAGAACACAGAAAATCCAGAAAAAGTACAAGGATAATAAGACCAGGTGTTTCGGCAGAGTAAACGTCTTCTGCTTAACTATGTGTATTCAGTGTTTAAGATAATGATATTTTGTCACATTTATTTGTTACGAAACTTGATATTTCAAAACAATGTCAAACTACAGGCCAAACTCAAACAGATCCATCCAGAGCAAAGTATTAGTAAGTCAATGAATCAATAATCATTTGTAAATTAATAGACAATAAATTCACATCGTTATGTCTGTATTTTCCTTTAGATCATGTTGACGTTTTGTCGGTATTTTCTTGATGATTTTAATTAATTCCTCTATCACAACAATTGATAATGATACATTTAAATTGAAATGTACATAATCTTTCCAAGTTCTATCAATTTTTAGAATCAATTTAAATGTTTTTTTCAATGATTGTACAACAACCTTCATTGCTTTTTTTAATAGTTAGGCCGAAACCGCCTTTGTGAATAGTGTTGGAAAAAGGGCAGTGCGCTCTGGTAATACATAAACAATATTATTTATTCTGTAAATACATTCACAGAGGAATACAACATCACGAATGATCAATTCATTTCTGTCTTCTTAGCCATCATTTTCCTCTAGATTTTTTTTCGATCCTATCTCTAGTTTTTGCACTCATTTATGTTATGTTTGTGTATTAACTATAATGTTAAAACCCTAGTAACTTTCTTAAGTAATTGCATATTTCCATGATCAAAAACCTTGTAGTCTGGGGACATTACATTCTGATTCTACCTATATAACGACGAGTTCCTCTCGCTGTACATGTTAGATTTTTCGTGCAATATGACAGGATTCACTGGGGTACATAACGTATGACGTTGATGGTAGAAGAAACAAACGACAATGCGATTATAAAAAAGACAAGTGAATAACATGTTTCTTATTGAAATTTAGAATAAGATACAGCTGAGCCAAACCATGAATTAAACTGCATGATACAGCTGTCTCGTTCTTTTAGAACTCGCCAGTGATGCCAGGGCACTTAAAGAAGAAAATAGGAGGCGCTAGAGAAAAATCTAATGTAGTCGAAAGTAATATCAAAATCTAGATAGAGAGTTGCACTATCTTTGTTTGCCTATGTTGTTTCATAGCTTACAAGGAAAGTTATATCTTATCTGAATGAATTACAATTTGATAACTGATAAATCACTAACCTCATGTGTACATCATACCGATTTTAAATATGTATACATTCATATATCTTTATTTTCGACATAATTTTGGACGGTGAATACTCATTTCGGTTTAGAATAAGAGCTAAATAATGTCCGTTTTTGCATCCCTTATATATATTGACATGTGTCACGATCTGATAATATCAATCTTGTGATTCTAAGTGCGTTATCAAAAGGGCTAGGTAATGAATTTTTCTGGTGTATATCGTTAGATGTGTCATGCTGCCAAAACGCTTCTTTAATATGCCATATGTAATTTTAGATTCTCGAACTACACAGCAAGATTTTCTAATGAACCATTCAAACTGAACAACACGCATCACAAGACTACCGGAAGGTTATAGAAGCTAATGTTTTTGACGAGTGTTCCAGTCAGTTCCACGATGTTGTTAGCGGATGTTGTGTCAACTCTAGTTAACGTGTAACTTTTGATAAAGATATGGGCGTATTCACAAATAAACAAACACAACAGGAAGTAATCACTACAACACAAAGAGGAAAGGGATTTAAGGATTTTTTTTACATTTTCTTTTCATCATTAGTATCATTCCGTCCGACACCGACACTTCATTATGAATCCTACATGAAATTACTAACATATCAGCATAATCGTAATCCAAACTTAAACTCAATAGAACTAGGACTAGATATGAACAAAGGAAAAAATACACGGAGACTCCTGAAAAATACAAAGCGAAAAAGACCAGGTGTTGGGGAATAGTAAGCTAATTTTTTCGTCAATTTAAATAACTATTTTCACGTTCTTAAATGAGAACACGATATTCATCAATTGTACCAACAGGCAAACTAGAGCGCACTAATATTTAAATATTCAATTTAAGACCACCAATTGCTGTGACTGTTAGTAAACAGATCAGAGATTTCTACTGTACCTTCATTGTGTATACATGTTGTTTTAGTAATTTTCAGCGGCACTTGTTTCTCCATCCTTAACACCTACTCAGTGATATATCTCTCAAATGATGCATTCGGTTGGACGAATTCAAATCACATTAAGAGTAGCACATAACGACTCGGCAAATTACCTAGATTGTGCTCCACGACTAGGGCATACATTGTTCTCTCAAGACATTCAGGTACAAATTAGCTCTGTGATGTCTAAACTGCGAACGTCAAGTACTGCCTTAAGACATATCCGCTTTACTGTATCACAAGTCCTCGGTAGGGAAATCAATCTCGTGTCTAAATGTAATACTCTTGTGTAAGACGCAGACGGTATACTTATATATCAGTGTGGCCAATCGGACATCGGTCAGTTTGACCGATCTACACTATCACAGGTGACCAATGTTAATTGACCTTTTAAAAGTTAGAGTAATTTTTGTCTTCTTGTAGTACTTCCTTAATGAACAGCATGCGCCCCACCACATGGTACATTTAGCAATTAGGATAATGTGTAATCACAACAACGACACGGGCCATTCAGTGATCACACAAAATTAATTGGTGATTCGTTGTATTACATCAACTAAAATAGCATTTTGTTTAAAAGGTCGTTATCGTTCTATCGTTAAGAGTGATTACATTGTTCATTGACTTTAATTCTTAATTTGTATAAAATTGTGTCTTTTGTACAGTGCTGACTACAAACATATCCTTGAAATACTTAGCAGGTTTGTAATGATCCTCAATTTATGAAACTAATGTTGTATCAAGCGACATATAAGCAACTTACAATTTTAGTGATTTAATGTTCTTCCTGTATAATATATTTAAATTCTAAATCAGATTGATTTCTTTTCGCTCTATTTCAATAACTAACTTATAAAATGAATTTTGCTACTTTGATAGACATGTATTTCAATAAAGTGTTAATCGTGAAGTACCGACATTCAGTCTCTATCTGAAGCTATGATTGTAATTTTATCATGGTGGTAGAGTTATCCTTTTACTATGGTGCGATAAGCGATCGAAGATTTAAAGAAACACGTTTTTGTAGATTATCTGCCCTACCTGTGATATGTGATGCTGTTTCCCTAGTATACAGTATCTTTTATAGCGTGACTCGAGTTACAAATATATTGAAGTATTGAACGGAAACTTACTCCAAGATAACACAGACTATACGAGAACATATGAGCTATATGGATATCGTTTCAAGCTTGTGTTGATAGCATGTACTAAACGATAAACGTGAGAAAGCTTTCGGCGGCTAGACGCAATGCTTCTGTATTTCTAAAAACGACTTATCGTGTGTTACCTGATGGTGATGAATCTATTAATCTTTAAGTAATTAAAACAATACAAATATCTCTGAGGAACTATCATTTCATTTTAGGATCGACCTGAAATTATATTTATTTATTAAATAAACATTAAGACAACTAAATACTTCCTGCAAATTTTGGTCACTGACAGATTTGAAAGACTTTGATGTACATTCTCGCAGTGTTTTAGCATGTCGCCAACAGGGATTGGTGTTTCACTGAAACTGTTTGGATATGATTGGTTACAAATTGAGCGCTTCCTGGTCAGACAATTGCTGCCCAAGACCGTATACACTAGGTAGACTTACAGTGTTGCGCTCTCTCTGATACTTTTTCTATGTGATATTTTGGCGTCTCTCACGATCTCACAACCAGAATTGTTACAATTGCTTGCTGACATGAATTACACGATAACCCAACGTGTAATAAAAACCGGATATCTAAACATTGAAGATCTTTTATATTTCACTGCTGTCATATTTTGTCGGCATTACATCGGTATTTAATTATTCATTTTGTTGCAAGAATATTACTTGGTACATATATGAACCGCTTTTTCTGCCAAACCGCTTAGATATGTTTAATATACTGTCACTTTTCTACGTGGCCTTGAAACAGTGCTTAATTTATGTATATATATAGCTCCCTCGGCTGGGTTTATATGTTTATACGTCCTGATGTATACTAACATTATCAAAATATAAGTCCTTCTGTATCCTTTTATGAAGGGGGAACACATATCACCGACAAAAGGTTTTGAATGCCACCATGTTACAAAATCGTAAACGGAATATTTGATATGATAAAATGTGTCTCTGTTGTATACTCAGTAAGAAAACAAAGCCACTGACCTCATTATAATCTCAGGATTTATTGTTTTTAATTTTTTCTGGTATAACCAAAATAGCATTAACCAAAAAAGACGTGAAATCGACTGGTAGTTTACTTCTTTGGAATAATGACAGTTTGGTGAAATAGAATGAAATGTGAAATGCAGCGAAATGAACATCAAGCTCATTTAGGAACTGTGTGCTAGAGGACTAGGCTTTAATAATAATGACTAGCGTCATAATACTTTCCACAAATGATTCTATATAATTAAAACACAAGCAATACAGATTGAAATGTGAAAGTGTTTACAGAAATACTAATGAAGGATTTTGAATCTAGCTTAAATGAAACAAGTTAACGGTAGTCGCAATGGTAAAGGCCTACAGTTTATGAATTCAGAACAGAACATGTTGCAGTATTTGTGAGAAATGTGTCCCATTCCTGAGCATCGTCTCTGGTGCGTTTTTGCAACTGTTAAAGCGCTTGTTTTTCAGTAAAATATTAAAAATCACAATATAGAGAAACCTAACTTCGGGATGTTTACAAAGACTATTACCACAAATTACCTTATTGGGTAGATTCAAAACTCACTCATTCATTGTCTTGATCTTAAGTGGTTTTTTTGAAA